TGAAGTGTCTTGCCCAAGGACACAACGACCGAAACTGTCGGAGCCGGGGCTCGAACCAAAGACAAACTGCCAACTCTTGAGCCATGATTACCCACATGTTCTGTTTCTTCTTCTCCACAGTAGTAACGTTTACCTGTGTTTACCTGCCATGAATGAAGTCGTGTTCAAACCAGTCTGCCCAAATCTTTTCTTCATTTTTCGCCTTATGATACTCTTTATCTTTGTCTGACAGAAGTTAATAGCCAGGTCAACAACACACTTTTGTGGCTTCCTTTGCAGCTCTATCTGTCATTTCATGCGCTCTGACTCCAAAATAAGCTGCCATCCATAAAAAGCCAACTTTTAAGTCCCATCATGTTTATTCTGTAACGCGTTTGCTGAACCTCTGTTGCTGTCCTTTTTCTTCTTGTTAAGCTTTAATGGCAAACATACCACAAACTGGTATGGACTGTGGACGGAAATGAAGGTTAAAACAAACAAAACCCTCAAATCCTGTCAAACACTATAGTCCATCTTTAAAAACGTCTACTTCTTGAGTTGAAATAAATCAATAAGGTCTAATTTTCATGTTACTGAAGTTTTGCCGTTGTCTTTTCAGCCTCTGACAGTGCAAGCATCCTTACTGACTTACGGTGTTTCAGATTAACTAGTGACGGTCAAACAGATGTGTGGTAGACTTGCTTTTCAAATGAAACAGTATTATGTCATTATTTTTGGCCTTCGTGCTTGAGAAATACAAAATTATGCACACAAAGTTCTGGAAATTACCACAACATTGTTCATGATTATTTAAATTTTTTAACATCAAGAAATATTCCACATTAATATGTTGCAACATCACATCCTGTTACAGTAGTCTGCCTCTGTCTTTTCTCTGGAAATAAACACTTGGGTTCAACACAAGATCAACACAGCTGGAGAGAGCTGGTAGTTATATACAGTCTGTGTAAATGATAACTTTGTTAACATGTAGCTGGACGAGTCTGCGACAAACATCTCAAACAGCAGGACGTTACATCCGGCAGCTATGATGGTCATGGAGTATTTTACTTGAATAAACACAGATTCTAATGAATAGAAAACGGCCAGCTTGCTGAAGAAATTCTATTGGGGACAACAGTACAGTACTCTGTGGACCAAGAGGGGACTGCCAGCACAATCTGTCTGCTCAAACACTCAGGTAAACCCCAGAAACATCTGGATATTCATTTAAGATATTTATACATACATCCTCATTGTTGTGACTATTTTCAGTTACCTTTCCCAGCTATGCCGTGCCTGTGGCGAGAGAAGCTCTGCTGCAGACGCTGATGAGTGGGTAAAATAACCAAATCAATACCTAAGACTGAAGCACCTCAGCATCACTGGGTGAAACGTCACTTTGATGCACCAACAGAAAACATGTGGTTGAGATAACCTGCATGCCTTTGCACTTTAAAGACGCTGCAGAAGGTGATTACAGATGTTACGCATGTTAAACAAATTATCACTGTT